AGTTGCTATCAGAGGTCCTGCTCCTCTTTATTATCTTAATTACCTCTGTTTTTCATAAACTCCCTTGTAATTATCCTCATGCCCTCACACACTCACACGTTTGGACTGCGATCATAGCATACCGATTGTGTTGAATACTCAAAAATATCTGTACAAATAACGGTATTCACAAAATGACTCATCGCTGATTAAGGGTTTCTGGAGTTAATATTGATTTCCATGCTGGCAAAGAGGACTGTTTCTACCGCTGTGTGTTGTCTATTTATACCAAGACACACACCACTATGTGTGCATTAGTGCGTCTCTGTGTTAATGTATGCCTGAACGTGTCCACATAAAAACACATGTTTCTGAGTGTGTCTGGTTATACTATCAGCCATGCGCAGGCCTTTCTGCTCCGGCAAGCTTGGATCTATGTACAGAGCGACCATGTGTGTCGGTACTGAAATACAGGATTTACTGCTACTGCTGGAACCTCAACATGTTGCATGCAGCACACAGAGAGGCTGTTTCCTACCAATCAATTACATTTTTGTTCCACAGATTGAAGGCACCTCTGAAATGAGGTTTATATCAGCAGTCTATAGCCTATCTTTGTGGTCTGGCTTTATCTAGTGCAGCTGCAGACTCGCTGCTGGAGGAGATGGCTCTATCTTGTATAGCAGTGCTGAAAGTAGCTTAGCTGATCGCTGTCCATGGCACCCACTTTCGACTTAGCTCTCCTTTGAGTGCTGTGTCTCCGCGTGTGTGCAACCTTTTTGTATCGCCTACCCCTATAAACAGATATATTCGCACAGTTGTACTAAGATTGCAGTTTCTCTAAAAGTATACACCTATCCTGAAATATATATACTTAAGTAGTTAAATTGTAAAAAGGTAAAGTGTTTACTGAAAGCATTTAAAGTCGGAAAAATCCTGTCAAATTGAATTTTCTGGGCTGCCTCGGTCAGAAGACATGGCATTTATATTTAGCTTCCCTTCTTTTTGGCACATATAGGCTTAATAGAATATACGAGCCATCTTTCTGAGTATCTCCAACAATGGCTTGAGAAATACATTTTCAATTTTCCTCTCAAGCCAATAACAGCAGACAGGGCTAAAACAGAGCATTTCATAAAGGAGTTAAATACAAGTATACCATTTGCAAAGTGTTTTTAGAACATTAAAGCATGTAAACATGTTCTATAATAGGGCCAATATACCTACTGTATATTCACTCCCACCCTCATCCACCTACACTGGTTGCCGGTCAAGTCCCGCATATCCTACAAAATCCTCCTCCTTACCTACAAATCCCTCCATGCCCTTGCCCCCCAGTACCTATCGGACATCCTTCACCCACATGCCCCCACCCCGGAACCTGCGGTCCTCAGACTCTGGCCTGCTTACCACCCCCCGCACCAAACTGCGAACCTATGGGGATAGAGCCTTCAGTGTGGCAGCCCCCACCCTCTGGAACGCTCTCCCTGCGGAGATACGCAACATCCCCACACTTGAAGCCTTCAAAAGGGCCCTCAAGTCCCATCTGTTTGCCAAGGCTTTCGGCCCCTAAATCGATCTGTTGTTCTGTTTGTCTGTCTTTTGTTTTGTTATGTTTGTCTTTGCACTATTACTTGTGAAGCGACCTTGGGTCCCCTGAAAGGCGCTATAGAAATCGAAGCTATTATTATTATTATTATTACTGTGAGCCTGATTGAGCATAATACGTCACCTTTAAAGGTTTTTCATAGAACCAGCGCCTCCATAAGGACCGCCATTATAAAAAGATATGCACTTGTGGTAAACACTAATGGTCCTAAAGCGCACTGTGTAATAGCATCCCGCAAATGCTATGTACTGTGTTCTCAATCATTGGGCAAGTCGGGAGTAATTGCTGTTTTAATGGTTATCAATTAATAATTTAATGATGTGATTTTTTTACCAGGGCACAACTTTCAACCAAGCAGACCAAACCCATTTGAATAGATACAAGTGAAAGAAGCTCATTTGCATTGCCTCATACTGATGATGCGGTAACTGCACGCAGACAAGAAACCGTGTATCATGTCATTCTAATCAGAGCAGTAATTTGATCGTTCTCTTGTGAACAGCTGTTTTCTGTTTGCAACACGTTAGGTCGTGATTATGCTGCCATTTATCACCCATGGATCAATAGCACAGTAATTACACCTCTGCAGTCTTGCTTATTGAAAGAGCTTGCCCTCTCGTTGTTTGCATTCAAAATGGCAATATGAAACCAACCGCCTATGCTTACCTAATGTCCCATGTCTCTATAGATATGATGGTTAACTCAGGTGATGTTATCTATCAAAGGCATTGTTTAATTTGTGCTGCATAGATTTAATCGACATACACTATATGTTTGCCTTTCAACCGTCATCTGAGAGCCTCCTGGTTTTTTTTCTACTTCTACTTTATAAGGTATTCAGAGTTCAAAGCCATTCTCCCTGAGGCAAATGTTGACTGTGTCTCCATTTCTGCATAAATTGTTTAGCAGCACAGAATTGTGTCATCAGGTGGTGATAGCAGATAAGTGGCCTAACTAAGTGTGTATATTTTCCAGCTGCTCCTACCTAACTCTCCACATTTCTGTCATTTTCTCCCTGCAGACAGCGGAGATTTGGATACACAGGTTTAAAGTCATTGTTTATCGTCAACCACATGAACCCCTTGTGATTTATAGCATGTGCATGTCTTTGTGTACATGATTTTAAATCTGTCTTTTGTGGTGTGTGGATTAAGTGTGTATTTTGAAGCGGATTTGAAATAATACCTGGCTGTATCCGTAAGAGTGTGTGTTGTTTTCTGTAGATACATAGAAATTATATCCGGAAGTATGAAAGAGAATGTATCCTGTGCCTTTGAGTCATCCTGTTGTTGTTGTTGTTGTTGTTGTTTTGCGCTGGTTATCCGTGTTATCCCTTTTGCTGACGATGATTTGTGTTGCAAACTGAACATTTTTGGTCAGTGAAGAGCGAGTGTTACACAATACTCAAACCCTGCCTGAAGCACTGAGAGCGGCAACACTCTCAGTCTTCAGTCCACAAATTACATTGATGTGGAATAATTTGGTCTTCTGCCTGTAGTGCTTCCCTCCCTCCTCCCTGTGCTGTACTCCTCCTCCCCTATAATTTTGTTATCCTGAAATGACCTCCCAATCTACTGTATTTCCCAAAGTACCCAAAGTCACAATGCTTTTCTTTTGTTTTAATATAGCTCCTGCTCGCTTTGTGTTGAGCTGTTTGCACTCACCTTGTATTGCTTGTTTTACATCGTGTGTTTCTTCTTTCTGCAGCCTCGAAGTCTTTTGGACCCCAAACTGCTCGGCTTGCAGTCTGGAGGGTGAGTTGTGGCTCACTTCCCAATCTAATCTGTTTATAAGTACATTCCTCTTTGCTACTGTGCTGTTTTGTACCCCCATGCTGAGGCATATGAAGCACAAATGTTGCAGACATGCTGATTCTCTGGCATGCAGTCCCTGTTAAGATGCCACACTCCCAATGTTGTGACCAACCACAGCGAGAAGATGAATGTTCAAGATGTTTGATGCCTTCACAACATCTGTAAAGAAACGCAACCTCTTGGCTTCACACACCTAATTAATGACTCGGAAATGCATTCAAACGATCATTGTAAAGACAGATGTTGTCGTAAAGAAAACACAGCTAACAATCATATTTAACCTCCATTACCCCAGCTAATGCTAAGACTTTGTAGCCTTTTGCAGCCTGCTTAGTGTAAAGAGGCAGCGGGAAGCACGGGCCCTCGGGAGGGGCGAGGGGCGGCACAGCTCGTCACGTCATGTATCTTTAGGGTCACTCCACTGATGTCGCTGAGAGCACTGACAGGAAAGCTTGAGGAGTTTTATCTTTGTGGAGGCATTGGGGCCTTGATGTCATGTTGAGGTCATTAGAGAGGCTTTGAGTGACAGTTGAGGTGATGCCACTGAGAGCCTCACGGGAAAGCAGCGAGGGAGCACAGTCGTGCACAAGAGAGTTGAAGGATGGAGAGAGTGAGACGAAACCTAGAGATTAAAAAAGTGTTGCGCCGACTGAGGAGAAGTCATCTTCAAGTGTCTACTTGTGAGGAATGGAGAAAATAATTCCAACTTCAGTATTTAAAAATGTAATAACAATGCATTTCTATGATATATGTATTAACGGTATTAATGCAGCAATATAATCGTTTAGATCAAATAAAAGAGACAGGGTCTACAGATCCAGCAGATAATAAGTAATACCAGTGCTAGAATGTAACAGAGTAAAATCACTCAATCAATATACTTTTGTGAAAATCTGAGGTACTTGAGTATTTTCACATTATGCTACTTCAACATGTTACTCCACTACATTTTGTGCGATAACATTGTGTTTTTTTTTTTAAAACTGCAATTATGTTTGCTTTAGATACTAGCTACTTTGCAGATTTAGATTAATAAATCAAACCATAAATCAACTAATAAACTATAATAGAATAATGAATGAAAATTAGCTACAACTTTACTAGCTGCTACACAAAGTAAATTGTCCTTCCTACATAACGAGTACTTGTACTTTTGGTACTTTAAGTAGATTTGGATGCAAATACTTTTACTTGAGTACCATTGTTATTGCAGAACTTGTCCTGGTATTAGAGTACTTTTACACACTAGTAATGCTACTTTAACTTATAAGTAAAAGATCTGAGTACTTCTCTAACCTCTGGGGATCACATGGAGCTCTCCTGTTGGTGGTTGCCCCATGTGAAATGCAGAGTACGGGGTGGGACAGGTTAGGTAGGAGGCATGATCCATGGCATCGCTGGCTGTGTAAATCAAAGCCCCCCTTTCTCCATTATAATGTCTCCCCCAGCACGGCATTATTATGATATTAATACACTTTAAATCTGTCTGCTTCTCCAGGTCTGGCAGTATTCTTTATGGTATTGACAGCATGCCAGATTTACGCCGCAAGAGGATAGTGCCTCTTGTCCGAGACCTGGTGAGTCATCCGCCTGAACAAGGTTATGTGTGATTTATGTCAAATCTATCTGAGTGACCCCACATTGTGCCACGCTGGTGGAATCATGCTCTGTGTGAGTATGGACCCCTGCAGAAGACAATACTAACTTTACTAGGAACTCAATATAATGTTTGTTTCTTATTGTTATATGATATCCTTGGACCCGCCTAGTAGTTATTGTACCCTTGTTTATTTTAAGCTGTATTCTCTAACACAACAATGGTAATCAAACGTAATCTGGATATGTTTTTGTTGTACTTGTTTGTTACACACGCATACAATTGGGAGGAATACAAATGCTCTTTTCCCATATGTAGACCTGCTATAGTTAAACAAATTAAATAGCTTTTTAAAAAAAGCCCATAAACCTTTATTGTGATAAAAACATGCAAGGAAAAAGTTTGATTGGTGATAAAAGCAACCACTTAAAGCTCTTTTGTTGAGTGTAGAGCGCTGCTTTGTGGGAGTTTTTAATGTAACCATAACTTTATGGCTTGATGAATTGTCCTAGCAAGGGTGTTTAAGATATTGCATCACAGTGATGCTCCCTCATTTGTTTTTATTGCAACATAATGTGTTGTAACATTTCCCACAGAGACGCATGTTGCAGAGCGGTCCACTCTAGCACTGTGCCACATGGTTAGCCTTTCTGAGAGACAACATGCTGCCGTGCCAATACTATTCATGTGTGTTTATAACTGTTGGTCCATTATGTGCTGCACAGTGTCCGTCTGTCTTGTGTATGTTGGTTTTTCATCTTCATGTATTCTAGTCAAAATATTGGAAAACAATAATCAGAGCTCTTAAATTCAGTTTATTTTTAAAACAACCTGTTTGATACTCTTACAATATATTTTTCTTGTGAAATATAATGATGCAGCTTGATGTCATACACGTAGATGCTGATGAATGTTTATTACAGTGAACAACATGAGTTGATGCTGTATTTGTCCATATCTCTCATGAAATTAATAACCAACAATGTCTTGGTAAGTATGGGTTGTCGTTTTAAATTTAATTATTTTTTGGATTTTGCGTGTATATATGCCATTCCTACACAGACCCATAACAGCTATGGGTGATATTTTTCAGTGAGTTGTCAGATTTCAGCCTCGTCGATGCTTGGGCATTTTTCTTCATTTACATTTTTTTGCTCGGCAGGTGTTGAAAAAAATTGCATTTAACTTGAAATGATGACAACTCCACCCAAAAATATATCCGAGAGACTTCATTGACTTCTGATTTAACTGTGTGGGGCTTTTAAATCATGTAAAAGTGACACTGAGCAAGCCTTTTACACGTGGGATGAAGTCAGTATTCAGCAAACTAATTGGTCCCCTTTCATGCCTCTCCTTTGTCAATGACCCCCGTTTGCTGTGTGATTGCTTCCGGGCAGCAGCAGCGTTTAATTGGAAAGGACAGCAGGGTCCCCCCGCACCATGGCGGGATGCAAAAACATAAACAAAAAACAGAGTGTTGAAAATGGATTCACAATGCATTTGATGCTATATTGTAGTCGAATGGATATCATCTGGACACAGGGTCATATTGTATTGCCCGTAGCAACCTCAGCAGTGCTGGTGCATGTTGATAAACTTACATCAACGCTCACGGTTCATGTAGAGGTCACGTTCCCTACATACTCCATGGCTGCCATGGATCTTTACCATAGCTGGGCTGTACACTCAAGAGGGTCGTGGTAAAGACTGATCCAATATTGTCAGCTGTCCATGTCTGCATTCCTCTGTTAAATATCGTAACTTTCTCCAGTATGGGATAACTGTTTAACAATCTCTGGTCACTCAAACTCAGTTGATATAGAAACAGCTCATTTACATATGTGTATATGTGTGTGTGTCTGTTACTTGTTTGTGTGGGTGTGTTCTGTTTAATGTTTAAGTATATTTGTGAGTGTGTGTGTGTGTGTGTGGGAGAGTCTGTGTTGTGCAGTACAGCTGGCTTCACCCATACGTCAGTGTGTGCGTCTTGTGTTTCTCTGTTTGTGTCAAACTAATGTGCAGAGCAGACAGCAGAAAATATGATCAAAGCTTCATCCAACAGAGAACTGAATATAAATGCCAAGCATGACTGCAGTTTAGTAACTTCCAGAGCATGAGTGGATAAAACAAATCATGCAACGGCTGTATAATTTCTCTTGATGAATAGTTGAATCTTTCTAGAGCGCTGCGGCCTAACCAGCAGTCCTGCATGGCAGTAGAGGCACTTATGTGCTCAGTTTGGATAATAAATACAATTCTTCTGCTGTTTGTGCATTCACCATTCATCCACCCACTTCTTGTCTAATTCAATTTCTTCCTTTCTTTCATTCTCTATTCACGGCCTCTTTGGAAATCACAGGCTTTGGTAAGCTGACTCTGTTTTCACTTGTTCACAAGCTAAGGAAACAAGAGCTAAACATGAATGCTTTGTCTGAAGAAACATTTTGTATCTATTCATGTACTTTTGTTAGCTAATTTCCTAATGATTTTATGTTTGTACCTCAAATCTTTGCAAGGCTTAATATCAATTCACTAGCTACATGCTGCTGTGTGTAAATCCATTCAGATACTGTACAAAACTGCAGATATGTAAAATGTATTCCTGGATGTATCCTTCTTCATGATCTCTCTCCTCCTCTTCTTCTCGCAGACCCTCACTGCTCGAAAGGCAGGCATCTCGTTCGCTCTGGTGAACCGCTCCACCCTGAATGATGTAGACCTGGTGAGTACTAACATGCTGCATGGAAAGTCCTTGTCTGTTCATTGTGGCGGCTTATGGGTAATGGGATACACTTCTCATTATATTTTAGGGGGGTGGTATTTTGAGAGGAGAGTGCAGCAACAAACATTTATAGCGGTGCTTGTGCAGCCATTGTTCTTTAGGGCCTGGGATCACAGCACATGATTCCAAAATGAGATGGATTGCATTAGTTACTGGCATTTTCTCTTTGGTTGTTTATACAGCATGCCATCATCTGTCTGCCTGACTCAGTCTATAAAACAAGCCACAGTTTATTAAAATGGTCTTTGCGGCCAGCTGCTCTCTCCTTCCGCTGTGCTCCTCCTGTTCGATTATTCGGAGGAGTTCAGATATTCGGAGATAGCCCCATTATTCCATTCAGACCATGCCCTCATAACCACTGAGCATGGAGGAAGCGAAAGCTACGGAAGAAGGCAGATGGAGTGAGACACCTCGAAAGCGCTCTCCACATTAATTGATTTCAATTCTTCCCTCCCTCAGGGAAGTGGCATTATAGGCTGCAAACAGCAGGAGAAAGCAGTTTCACAGCAAGACAAACAAGCAGACCATTTCATATCTAATGGTGTGCAACAAGGGGCTGCATAAACCTAGGAGATTACCGACTTACTGTGTGCATCATACACACATATTTCATCTTTTCAAACATGAGACATCAATTTGGGCACACTGATTTGTGTAGATGTCCGTATCACTTGACTCGGTCCTAGTGGTCCACATGCTCCGTTGCCCTACAGTGACAGGGTCTTGATTGCTTACTAATAGCTATGGGTCTTATGAAAGGGGCTTTAGGGATGAACGACTCATGCCCCAGATGAGAGGGAGAAATGACGTGATGGATGCACTATGTTAATTGGTGTAGGAAAGGGAAATGATTATTCGGCAAAAATAGAGATTGCATCACAGTGGTAAGTAAGGACTTGAGGCTGAGATGTCCAATAATCTAAATCGGAGCTAGCAAAGAAAGAGAATAATAATAATCGGTGGCCGAGGGGGAGCCCGGTTCCGAGCAAAGCTGCAGATGTGGTGGTCTTGCTAAGTAGGACGAGCAGATGTCAGAGTTGTATCTGCTGCATTAAGTCCACAAGAGTGCTTTCCTGTGAGGGCTGCGAGAGTAGTCAGTAAACTGCCATATGCTGTTCAAGAGTGTGTAGGAGTTGGGGGATGAGAGGAGAAAGGAAGGGTGATAAATGGAGGGAAATAAGAGGAGAATGAAAGAAGTTCTGAGCTCCTCATCATGACCCTCTGGCCCTGATTTGTCACTGATCAGCCAGCCATGTTGAACAATCCGCCCCCCAGTCCCGCGAGAGATGTTTAACCTATTTAGAGAGCTTCTGTCGTCCATCCTATTTTCTTCTCATCTCTGTCTCCTCTGACAGCGTAATACATTTGAATATGATTAACATATCTTACTGTGACATATATATAAGTCTCTCTTTCTCCTCATGCGTCATGTATCCCATGTTTCTGCTTTTTAGAGCAGAAAGAAACATTATGTGCGCGCCAGCTAACGGACCGTGTGTCCGCTCGATGTTCTGAGCTGCATGCGATCCAAGCACCAGAGCCTTTTAACAGTCACTGTCAACAAGAACTGGGGTTGCGGTTACCTGCTGAGACAAAGGCATTGACTCAGTTATACCAAGGGAGCCGCAATCTGACATGGGTCAATGAGTATCAGGAAATAAGATATGATGCGTTGTTTGAAGACGGTTCATACGTCATCAGGCGGCAACATTATACGACATTGATTTCAAAATGCCTGCCTCTGATATCCACCACAGTCATTTTGTCACGATCACAGGTACAGATCAGAACCCAATAGCACGACTCAGATACAACCAGTGTATCAGGGACAGGGAGGGTCAAAACCAGTAAATCCGTCAGACAGGCAACCAAAACCAGACAGGGAGCAGGCAGGAACTCGAGATCCGTAAATAGGCAGGCAGGGATCAAAAACCGGGCAGGACAAACATCTAGGCTAGAATACAACACTCACTGGAGAGCTTGGCGGAAACGACAAGACAATCTGGCAAAGGACAAGTGATAGTGAGGTGGTGTGATGAGGGAATGAGTAACAGGTGAGGGGAAGGGGAGACCAGGTGAGGGAAGTGAGCTGATTACAAGGGCTTGGAGGAAGGTGGGATCTGAAATGACAGGAGAGTTTAGTTGAGCCACCAAACAAACAATAATAGAAGTGTCTAACTTGTGACAGAACCCCCCCCTCTATGGACGGCTACTGACGTCCCACGTGGTTGATCGGGATGAGCCTGGTGAAAGTCAGTAATGAGAGATGGGTCAAAGATACTGCGAGCAGGCACCCATGAACGCTCTTCAGGGCCATAACCCTCCCAGTGTACCAGGTACTGCAACCCTCTACCACGTCGCCGGGACTTGATGAGGCGACGGACAGTGTAAACAGTCTCCCCGTCGATAGTCCGGGGTGGTGGTGGGGGTCTAGAGGGGGGCTGAAGAGGGCTCACATTAATTGGTTTGATCTTGGACACATGGAAGGTAGGATGAATCCTCATAGAAGGGGGCAGACGCAGGCGTACAGCTGCAGGATTGATGACCCTAGCTATGGGAAATGGGCCTACAAAAAGGGGAGACAACTTCTTTGACTCAACTCTGAGAGGGAGATCCCGTGTGGAGAGCCAGACACGTTGCCCTGGGGAGTACTGTGGAGCTGGCTTGCGACGGCGATTGGCGGTCCGTTGATAACGGCCGGTAGAGCGCAGGAGCGCGGAGTGGGCCTTTAACCACATGCGTCGACATCGGCTTACAAACGCCTGTGCAGATGGGACGCTGGCCTCACGTTCCTGTGCCGGGAAAAGGGGTGGCTGGTATCCGCGGGAGCATTGGAATGGAGAAAGACCAGTAGCAGAACTAGGAAGGGTGTTGTGGGCATACTCAACCCATAGAAGCTGCCTCGACCAGGAGGAGGGAGTGGAGGAGGCTAGACAGCGTAAGGCAGTCTCCATCTCCTGGTTCATTCGCTCTGCTTGACCATTGGACTGGGGATGAAATCCGGACGAGAGACTGACACTGGCTCCCAGCAGCCTGCAAAACTCGGACCAAAAACGAGAAGTAAATTGTGGTCCCCGATCAGAGACAACGTCACTGGGGAGACCATGCAGCCTGAACACATGTTGTAGCATGATTTCAGCCGTTTCCTTGGCAGTAGGTAATTTGGTTAATGGAATAAGCAGAGCAGACTTGGAAAACCGGTCTATGACTGTGAGTATGACTGTTACTGTCTGAGGGTGGTAGTCCAGTGACAAAATCCAAGGAGATGTGGGACCAGGGACGATGAGGGATAGGCAAGGGATGAAGAAGACCGGAGGGAGCTTGGCGTGAAGTCTTATTTTGGGAGCAGACTAGGCAAGCAGCAATGAATTCCTTGGTATCCTTCTCCATGGAAGACCACCAAAATCGCTGTCGAATCAGGGCTAGGGACCGTCTCACTCCTGAGTGACAAGCCAGGCGAGAGTTATGACCCTACTGGAGAACCTGGGTACGGAGAGTGTCAGGAACAAACAGACGGTTAACAGGACAGGCACTTGGGGCTGGGTGTTCAGCATGAGAGCGCTTGACCTTATCCTCTACCTCTCAGGTCACCAGACCAATGACACATGTAGAAGCGATGATATTCTCAGTATGAGATGGAGAGCTCTCTGGCTGGAACTGGCGAGACAGGGCGTCAGGTTTGATGTTCTTAGAACCAGGTCTGTATGAAAGAGAAAAATCAAAGCGTGTGAAAAACAGAGCCCACCTGGCTTGACGAGAGTTCAGCCGCTTAGCTTAACGGATGTACTCCAAATTGTTGTGGTCAGTCCAGACCACAAAAGGCTGCTCTGCTCCCTCCAACCAGTGTCTCCATTCTTCCAGGGCAAGTTTAACTGCCAACAGTTCTCGATTTCCAATGTCATAATTCCTTTCCGCTGGGGACAGCTTTCGAGAGAAGAAGGCACACGGGTGAATTTTCTGATCCTCGGCCGACCGTTGAGAAAGAAGTGCCCCAACTCCAGTGTCCGATGCATCTACCTCTACAGCAAACTGCCGAGTAGAATCTGGAAAAATCAAAATAGGAGCAGAGGTGAAGCGTGACTTTAACTCACCAAAAGCCCCTTCGGCCACCGAGGACCACCGGAAGGGATTGTTCTGAGAGGTGAGAGCTGTGAGAGGAGCGGCCACCAAACTGTAGTTTCGGATAAACCTCCGGTAGAAGTTGGCAAAACCCAGAAAGCGTTGGAGCTCCTTGCGTGTTGAAGGGCGTGGCCAGTCAGTCACCGCCTTGGTCTTTTCAGGATCCATCTTGATGTTTCCGGTGGAGACCACAAATCCCAGGAACGGGACTTCTGTGGTGTGGAACACACACTTCTCGGCCCTGACAAAGAGGTGGTTCTCCAAGAGCCTCTGGAGGACTAGGCGAACATGGACCACATGCTCCTGTTTTGACTTGGAAAAAATCAAAATGTCATCCAGGTATACAAAAACACAGATATTGAGAAGATCCCGCAGAACATCATTCACCAACCCCTGGAAGACTGCAGGTGCATTGGTGAGTCCAAAAGGCATGACTAAATACTCATAATGTCCACTAGGAGTGTTAAATCCCGTCTTCCACTCGTCCCCCTCCCTGATTCTCACCAAATGGTACGCGTTACGTAGGTCCAGCTTGGTAAAAATAGTAGCGCCTTGTAACAGTTCAAATGCAGAGGAAACAAGTGGAAGGGGGTACCTGTTATTGACAGTGATGTTATTGAGTCCTCTGTAGTCAATGCATGGGCGCAGAGTCTTATCCTTCTTACCCACGAAGAAAAAACCTGCACCAGCAGGAGATGATGAAGGCCGGATAAGCCCTGCATCCAAAGAGTCATTGATATACTTCTCCATTGACTTAGTTTCAGGAGCCGATAAAGAAAAAAGTCGACCTCTAGGAGGAGAAGTACCAGGTAACAGGTCAATAGGACAGTCATTAGCACGATGAGGCGGGAGTGAGGTGGCCCGAACCTTGTTAAAGGCCTCTTTAAGGTCCCAGTAATCCTTGGGAACACCGGAAAGGTCTTGACACTCAGAGATAATCGGCTGACTGGAATCAATTGAGGATCTAGATCTTAAGCAGACAGCATGACAATGAGCACTCCACTCTCTAATAGTCCCTGAAGCCCAATCTATATGAGGATTATGCCTCCTTAACCAAGGAAACCCCAAAATGACAGGCTGATGTGGTGCATGGATAAGGTGAAAAGAGAGTGTTTCGCTGTGATTACCTGACATGCTCATTTGAACTGGAGTTGAACGGTGTGTCACTCTGCAGAGAAGACGACCATCTAGAGCTGTAGCATTGATAGGCTTCTCCAAAACCTCCTGACCAAGTCCCATCTGAAAGGCCAGTGTTATATCCAAAAGACTGGCATCAGCACCAGAGTCAATAAGAACAGCCACAGTGTGCATTTTCCCCAAGCAGCTCAGCTGAGCATGGGTTAGGGGTTGAGAGGGCATTTCTAAATTCATAATTCGGCTCACCAACGCCCTCTGGATGACTAGTGAGCCCTGCCTTTTACAGGACAAGAGAAGGCAAGATGACCCTCCTGGCCGCAGTAAAGACAGCAGTTGTCCCGCAGGCGGCGCTGTCGTTCTGCCTCGGAGAGCCGCATTGGTTCAGAAGAGTTAGAAAATCCTCCTCTCACCTGTTCAGTAGCATGCGCTAACGGGGGAGGCGGAGCCTGAGGGGCGACAGAGAAAACCCTCTCTTTCCTCCGCTCCCGCAGATGGCCGTCAATGCGGATGGAGAGAGCCACCAGCTCATCTAAATCAGCAGGAAGGTCCCGAGCTGCCAGTTCGTCTTTAAGGCGATCTGACAGACCGTTGTAGAAGGCATCGAGAAGTGAAGAAGCATTCCAGTTACTCTCGGCGGCTATGGTACGAAACTCGATGGAGTAATCGGACACAGATCTCCCTCCTTGCGCCAGGTTAAACAGTCCCCGAGCGACCTCTCTTCCGGGTGTAGCGTGATCAAAGACTTTACGCAGTTCATCGGAGAATAAGCTTACAGATGAGCAGGCAGAGGATTGTCTCTCCCATTCGGCGGTACCCCAGTCTTTAGCTTTGCCCGTGAGAAGAGAGACAATATACGCCACCAGGGATCTTTCTGTTGGGAAGGCGGAAGGCTGAAGCTCGAAGGTGAGGGAACATTGGACCAGGAATGGTCTGCACGAACCTGGGGCTCCAGAGTAGCGTTCCGGAGGAGGCAGGCGTGCATCCGATGCCGGAGGACTCTGGATTCGAACAGCGGAAGCTGGAGTTAGTTCCGGACTTTGGACCGTAGCAGGAAGGTTCTGAAGATGATCACGGAGATTCACAAAGGTCCGTTCGTGACGAGCGGCCATCTCCTGCATTGCTTCCGCCATGAAGGTACGCTGCTGCTCGTGGCGTTGTAACACGATATCGTGCGTAGGCGGTTCTGTCGCTGAGTCGGCTGGGTTCATGTTGGCCAGATTGTACTGTCACGATCACAGGTACAGATCAGAACCCAATAGCACGACTCAGATACAACCAGTGTATAGCAATGTTCAGTTTATTCAGGTCAGGGACAGGCAGGGTCAAAACCAGTAAATCCGTCAGACAGGCAACCAAAACCAGACAGGGAGCAGGCAGGAACTCGAGATCCGTAAATAGGCAGGCAGGGATCAAAAACCGGGCAGGACAAAAATCTAGGCTAGAATACAACACTCACTGGAGAGCTTGGCGGAAACGACAAGACAATCTGGCAAAGGACAAGTGATAGTGAGGTGGTATAAATACTGTGGAGTGATGAGGGAATGAGTAACAGGTGAGGGGAAGGGCTGGGGAGACCAGGTGAGGGAAGTGAGCTGATTACAAGGGCTTGGAGGAAGGCGGGATCTGAAATGACAGGAGAGTTTAGTTGAGCCACCAAACAAACAATAATAGAAGTGTCTAACTTGTGACACATTTTGAACGGTCGTTTGAATCTTATCAGACAGAAAAATAATAGATTGCGTTTAAAATGATGGCCGTCACTGATGTTTTCTTCAGTATAGATTTATTTGCAGCCTATTTTCGAGATAAATAAGTTATCGTTTGTTCTAGAGAATCGTAAGAAATGTCCATCCTAGTTTTGTCCAAGGGGATGTCTTTACATGTCTTGTTTTTATTTCCAAATTCAAAAGACATTGATTTGATATACAGTCATATATGTAATGTACATTTTAATTGAATTTGAACCAGAGAAAAGCAGGACATTTCCATTTTTTAGAGGCAGCTTTTTTTCAAATGTCTGCATGAAAAATGACTCACAATTAATCCATTATGAAAATAGTTGGCAATTATTTTTCTGCCAATGGACGGATCAGTTGAAAAATGGTTGCAGCTCTAGTGGAAAGTGATTCATAATTCTTCCATTTAAAACCAATCATTCATAAAATAGTTTATACCGTGAATTACTTATCAGATTTGTTTTTCTTAAATGTTAAATTCTGTCTTATATCATATACTAATTCCAGAAATCTCAATATGTGAGGCTGAAAGCAGCATTTTATTTTTCATGAAAAACTACTAACATGATGAATCGATTATCAATATAGTTGGTGATTACTTTCCTGTTCATCATCTAATAAATGAGTTTTCGATTAATTGTATCAGTTCTGTTTAAAGTACTTTCAGAAATCCAAATCAACCCCACCGTCTTGTGGTTTGCGAAAACCACCATGGATTCCTTGTTAGGGCTGAAAAGGTAGTTAAAGTAAAATATTGGAGGTGTTGACGGATGGAGCAGGACGGTGAGGATGGCACGGCCAATGAAGCTGTTGACAAGGACAATAGGTGGTGAAATTGGAAAGGAGGGGTGAAAGGAGGAGGAGAGATTAGATTCCTCTCCGTCATGTTGCTCTCAAGCAGACGCTGCGCCTGTCAATCAATTCTTGCAGTGTCTTGCACAAAATCACCAGGGTTACCTCACGGTGTAACACATGAGACTCACACACGCAGCACTCTTCCCACATCTGCTGCACAGTGTGACGTCCAGCTTCAGAGACTGAAATGAGAAGCCGGAGAGAGGGGGGAAATTTAAAGAGACAGAAACAGATGAATAGTGAACTACTACTGTATACAAAAACACCACGGTGGAACCGTTTTACGTAGTACATGCTTAGTACCATTTTAACTTTTAGTTGGCGGGTCAGAAAGAGGCTAAAAGATAGATATTTATTATTTACCTGCCAAGTCAGCCCTCTGATAAAAACACATGATAGAGAGGTCTCTGAGATTTCCCACGCTCCACAGAAATTCTGGCTCACTCATCTCCTTCAGGCTGTGTCCTAGTTCACTGTGGCAAAGAGCAAGCTTCCGGGTGCATCCCTGACCTAGCTTGTGTGCAAGTTGTGGATACATCTCAGACATCTGTTTCATCTCATCGTCCTTAGATTAAAAGGAAAATCTTGCTGTCTCTGTGTTTCATTAAAGCTTCCTAGGGTTCAGTGGCCTCTCTGTTCCATCGTTTCACAGTGTTAGAGGGCCTTCTTGTCCTGTCATCTGGTGCCATTTCATCATGTGCAAGTGTACGTGTGTGGGCATTTGTGTCTGTAAGTGTGCTCGAGTGAGCAGTGAAGCAGTCTTTGTGGTGAAGTGCAGGGCTGCTGTTCAGGTGTTAAAGCACAACACACATGGGGCCGACAGCAGAGGGAGGGGGGGGGAGTGGAGTGCAGAAGAAGTGGAGAGCAAGTACCTCTTGAAGATTTATTCAACCGCCATACATCTCCTTCTCTTCCTCTGTCACTTTCTCCCTCGCTTGCACGCTCCCTCTCAATCTGGATAATGCTCACTTTTAAAAACCTTATTTACAGCATCCATTGATTCTGCCTTCGAGAATTGGCAAGTCCCGGGCCGTTTTCCAGTCCTTGTGGATGGCAGGGCTGCTGCACTAAAGCATTCAATTCGAAGAGGCTTCTGTTACACAGCATACAATCAGTCTAGACAGGCCTCTAGAAGACTTTCTTATTTTGTCTCTAGGCGCTTTAGTCAGTAAACCACTCAATGTGAACAAAGCCAGTGGCCAGTTAATCTAAGCTTAATGAGATGTCTGACTGATTCACTCTCATTCAACTGACCTCTCCATTTGATGATAAGGTAATCAGAAAGGATCAACAAAGCCTCATACATGTTTTTTCTTCGAATAGTACAATCTGTTAGATCCCTTTCTCTAAGAAGAGAAGTTGAAAAAAGCTGGAGTTGTGATGAATAGCTGCAGGCCGATTCATAAAAGATGAGATATAAGATTACTATGGTGCAGAAGTTTATTGTAAATGTAATCTTACTCACACTGCAAATCAATTTTGAAATGAACTTTGTTTGATGACATTAGTCATGCTTTCCCTCAGCAGGTGCTGAAATATTCCTCTGTTATTCTACTGATCTCACCATGTATTGAACATTTATGAAAAGCAATCTTGGTACAAAGTAGCTTTTTTATTAACTTTTCAAGTTGTTAAGACTGTTATTTTCTCAAGCTTATAGTGCCATGAGTCAGCCTAGCTCCTCTGCTTCTCACTTCATTGTCTGTCATTGTCTCCATACCTCATTATTTCTTTCAATTTCTCAATGCCTTTTCTTTTTTCTCAGAAACAACATGTCTTCAAGAAGACTCTCCAGGCCTTGATCTACCCAATTTCATCCACAACACCCCATAACTTTGAGGTGTGGACGGCGACGGCACCGACCTACTGCCATGAGTGCGAGGGGCTGCTGTGGGGCATCGCCCGGCAGGGCATGCGCTGCTCAGAGTGTGGCGTCAAATGCCACGATAAGTGCCAGGACCTGCTTAATGCAGATTGTTTACAAAGTAAGGAAGTGCATTCATCCCATATTGCTTTGATGTACAGTTCACACAGGATTGAAACACAAAGGCATGTATTCACAATCATGCCTTTGTGAGGACAGTGCTCTGTGTCTTTGTGAGAGAGAGAAAGTGTGATTTCTGTCTAACTGCATTGTATAGAAAATGCATTCACAAAAGCGGAAGTCTTTCTCGTTTTTACATGTCAATCGTATTTATGCATGACATTCAGAGCATTACTAATGCAGCTATTTACTATATTCAACATTCTGGAGTAATGACTACCAGAGCAGAGAATAAAGTTCACTGTGTTTTGTAATCTGAGTTTCAATGTGCTTGTGTAGCAGCCCCGGCTGTGCCTGCATGCTATCACATGTGTGGCTAGCTGTGGCCGCTGCATTGTCCTGTGCTTACTGTGGTTACTGCTGATAATGTTGTCCAGAGCCACATAGTTGTCACAGAAGCTAGCGTCCACCCTCTGGCTCATTCTCAGGTTAAAACATTTAGCTCTGTGAATTGTGAACTGTTTGCTGTTGTTTGCTAATTTAGCTGCTAGCGCTAATAGCTACTAGCATTGACGTCGGCATGTGGAGAGATCTGTGCAAAGACAATCCCTCCATCATAGATATGCTATGAACTCCATATAGTAAATCTTTCATTTAATTGAATATGTATGATCTTACAGTCTGATGTTAAGATTTTCTGTTTTGAAACTGTTGGCTTATAATCGTTAAAAAATGTTTTGAATCTGTTCAACCTAAAAACATGGTTTGTCTGGGACTCTGTTAGGTGTCCGCAATGCACATCATCTCCCACAAATGTTCTATACATACCAACACTACATTGAAATGCCTGCAGGACACGTCAATGCTGTTACGGGGATTTGTGTTATACATTTTACATATCCCCTTGCACATATTGCTACACGGTGCATTTACACCGCTCACCGCACTCATCACTGCCTCTAATCAGTTTTTTCAATCAGGCTCACCCTGTTGTTACGGCGTAGTCAAACAGGAACAATGTGACATGCCTGCTTTAGGGTGATCCTCACGGCAATCCTCACACACTATAAGTGGATTAGCTACACCCAGGCCGTTTTTTACAACAGTTTTATTCCAGCAGAACAATGTTTTGCAGTTCAAGCTGTGATTCATCTTTATCAAATTTCAATCTGCTCTCATGAACACACTCTGGAATGATAATACTGTTATCAGATACAGAGAATGAACCGTCACGTCTTTTGTCTAACATAGGCTACACACATTCACATAATTAAGTACACTCATATACACCAGCCTTTATTTCCCTTCCTCCACACGCACTCAGAGTCATAGTGGCAACAATTGATGGATAACACAGTATTGTACACTCTTGTTTAAGAGACAGAGAGTTAGGAGTTATTTAAAATATGGTGTCCACAAAAACGTGGTGAATACATATGATAGATACTTTGCCACTTTGATGGATCACCAGTTTTCTTACCTAATTCCTGGGTATTAAATATGCAGAATACTGAGCTCTTTGACTTCTTGTTTCAGGGGCGGTGGAGAAGAGCTCCAAGCACGGGGCGGAGGACAAGACCCAGAATATCATCATGGCTATGAAGGAGCGCATGAAGATCCGCGAGAAAAACACTCCTGAAGTGTTCGAGGTGATCCAGGAGATGTTCCACGTCTCCAAAGAAGAACTCACCAGCCATCTGAAGACTGCCAAACAGGCGGTTCTGGATGGGACCTCCAAGTGGTCGGCCAAAATCACCATCACAGGTTAGCCTGGTGTCCGTATTTATATCAGAAAGTTAATTCTTCAAAACATTCATCAACATTTGGATTCATAATCTCACTATGACAGCATCTTTCATTTGTGATGAGGAGTTTTTATTAGCTCTCATTTGCACGTTAACCATCAATCATCTGAACGTTGATACATGCTTTATACATTTGGTGCTGCAGCAGGTGACCCTTGACCTTTGGTCCATGACCTATAACCTCTTTGTTCAGCCCTCCGGTGCCAAATCCACACAAATGCCATTACCAGTCAGGCTCATCTCAAATGACAAATATTGTTATTCTAATAAGTATCAGTTTGATATTAACCCCGTGATCTTGGCCGTTAACCTCTGACGCTGAACTGATCATCAATGCATATTGAATGAGAAATAGAAATAGGAATTGATCAGGGATTTTTGGGAGATGTAATTGGTTGGTAAGGATCTCAGGCAAGGCAAGGCAAGTTTATTTATATAGCACATTTCAGCACACGGCAATTCAAAGTGCTTTACAAAATAAATTACATTTAAGAAGAAATACAGCAGAAGCACATTATAAAATGGCATTTAAAAACAGGCATTTAAAAAGCAAAGATAATAAAATAAACACAACAGGTATAAAATACATGAATAAAAGCCATACTGCAGTGTAAATAGGAACAGCTCAATCAAAAGCAGCAGCAAAAAGTTTCTTTTATCATCAAGTAGAGATTTTGAAAAGAGGACACGTGTTCTTTTACTATCCATTTGACTCGTGTACCTAGACAATGACATATTTTTAGTTACATATCCATTTCAAACAGGAGCTCAGACTGGGACGTGCTGCTCCACTGAAAGCAACAGACGAGCTGAGCTGTGGGAAGGCTTGAAAGGTTACATTGCCTAATGTTAAACAAAGGCACATTGAACATAATTAGAGAAAGAAGCAATGTTTGATAGCAGTGAAACAGTGCTTGCTGTAACTGACAGAGATCTTCATGTCTTTCTTAGCTCAATAACAAACCGATTTGTTCATACTGCAGCTACACTTAGAGCTCTCTCAGAGGTGCCAATCAAAGTGTCGTGCCCCTGAGCGAGTTTGACAGTACAGCACTTTACAGCTTGTTCAGTTGGGAAATTATTTTTAGGGCAGTATTAGTTCCTTGGGTTACAAAATGGTTAGATGGATTTAAACCAGATTAATTAGTGTCTCTTTAAAGAGTCTTAGAGACGCCCTATAATGCTTTTGGGGGGTTTCCCTTTCCTTTAGTGTGTTATAAGTGTTGTGCATGTAGGTTAAAGTTACATTACATGTCACTTGTTAGACGCTTTGATCCAAAGCGACTTACATACATTCAATACTGTGGGCAATCCCCACAGGAACAACTTGGGGTGAAGGGTCTTGTCCAAGGACACAGCGGAATGTTGACTACAGCGGGATTCGAACCAGTCCCCCTGTGATTCGTAGATCAGCGCACTAACCAATTCCCCCAGAGGGAATTTATCTCCCAAACACTCCCCCCCCCCCCCCCCCCCCTGCCTGAAACACCTCCATTACTTCCTTAACACAGTGATATCAGTATGTAACACACGCCCTTCTATTGGCTAGCGCTCTAACACATTGTACGTGATAGGCAAAGGGGCGGGATACCTCTAAGTGGTTGACCAATCACAATGGAGACGGCCAGCTAACCAATCAGAGCAGACTGGGCTCTGGTTTCAGACAGAGGGTGAGAAAAATAAATAAAGAGCTTTTTGAACATTAAAGCATGGAGACATGTCACAGTAGAGACACTAAATACATATTAACTTAAACATTAGCATAATAGGGCCCCTTTAAATGTAAAGTGCATAGTGTGTTCCTTCTTAACTTTCATAACCACTGTCTGTTGAGTGTCCTTTTTGAGGGAAAAGGATCTAAATCCCATGACCTCATTTACTTTGAATTTACAACAGTATTTTCCACTCCCTGATTACATAACCTATATTGTTTATCCTCATTTCAGTACTCCATCAAACTATGAAGAATAATCATCCTTGAGTATTACAAGGCTTTCTTTCATGTTACTACTTCATTTACATACACATCGCTGGGTTTCATTCTATTTCAAGCCAACTGAAAGAAAGAAGGTCAGGAAGTTAGCTTTGTCACCTCGACCCCCCGACTTCAATCCAGCTCTGTGGTCGCTGTGCCAGGCCCAGCTCATTTATTGCTCACCTCGCATTTCTCACAGTGCCAATACACCGGAGAGAAATAGAATCGGAGAGAGAGGGAGCCAAATTGAAAGGAGGAAGGAAAGTGTGGGAATAGCAAGGAAGAGAAGAAGAAGAAGAAGAAGAGTGAGAGACATTGAAAAGACGCATGGTTGCCTCACTCGATTTCCCAGGGGTTTATTGAACGTCCCATTTTAAGATGTAGTTATTGAGTTGGTGTTTATTCGACATTCATTAGATAAATACCAACTGGCATTGACTCTGCAGCAGTCTCTCAGTGACCATCAGATATTCTCATACTGGCTAATGTGCATACTACAAGGTCTGCTAGTGAATATAAACCTTGACTTGCCAGTACTATATAGTCATACTATACAATCATTTGCTAATTAAACATGACCTACTAATCAGCAAATATTCTATTGTACCTCCAAATGCACTGATTGCAGCATTATTATACAAGCACGCAGTAAGAACAAGTTAATTACATCGCTGTGGAAGATTTTCCTTTGTTTATATTGCCTAAAAACAATTCTATTACTTTCTTCTAAAGCCTTGCTCAAACACACCCCTGTTACTCTGCACTTCTTGAATCAATACAACTTTGTAGTAAAAGGCAGTCTTGTAAACTTGGTTTGAATCCTTTAAAGATATTTACAACTTTTGCCAACCTTAACGGGATCAGTATTAGAATATGCTTCCAGCTGAGTTTAAAACATGCTTAGACGTTCACTCTTTTTCCCATGGTGCAAAACAATGGATTGTGAGCAAACACTCTTTCTATTTTAACATTGGAAAGACTCAAATCTAGCATTAATCTATCATCTCTACTCTTTTTGAGATTAATGTATTTTCTGCACGGCCCTGGTTGAATATACACATCATTATAATAACAGTAAAGGATTCAATACAGATATAGAATTAAAAACCCTTACCGTCTTCCTAGTTTACTCAGTTCAAGGCATTGGGGGACGCAAAATGTAGCCACACTTAAAGGCGTGGCAAAAGGCCATTCTTCATACAGAAGGGTGGGGGAGGGATAATTGTACTGTTTGCTTCTAGGAAATGCGGTTTTGCTAGTTGTGTTCTGGCAGACCCTCTGTTCGGACATTAGGTGTGATGCTGAGGGATGGTCTGACTGATTCCTTAAAGCAAAGTGACCCCTCTATTTATATCGCAGTCTCTGACCACTCTTTCACTACGGGAGACATTTGATGTTCATTTCTCCTGGAGCAAGGAGGCCATGGCTCTTCAGCGTCTATATCCTCCACACCAACTTCTGTCAGCATTGAGCTGAGGCATATATATGTACCCTGAATTATTTAGTCTGTCACTTATGCATATTTAATGCTCCAGTGTCCTTTTTCCTTTTATGGCGCGGTGAAATACAACTGTCTCTCTCCTCTCTGCACCTCCCTTTCTCAGTGTGTGTGTGTGGTGTGTGAGGTTCTCAGTCTTAGCACAGTAGACACATATTGTAGCTTTATGACTGGGATTGAGAGGCTGCTGTAAAACTTCAGCCACCAGGCCAATGCTTCCTGTTTATGACTTCCACAATAATATGTCCCTGGGAATAGAATGAATTAAATTAAAGATCAGTGCTGTTGTAATTAAGTTCAGGGAAAGAAACCTTCAATATAATAAATCCAGGGACATATCAAAACTTTAAGATGGTGAAATAATATGCTACTTGTGGTACTTACTATCCTTTATTGTTCTTCCAACCCTGTGTTTCTTCAGTAATGAGTGCACAGGGCTTACAGGCCAAGGATAAAACAGGCTCCAGCGACCCTTACGTCACCGTCCAGGTGGGCAAGACCAAACGCAGGACGAAGACCATCTTCGGAAACCTCAACCCAGTCTGGGATGAGAAGTTCTTCTTGTGAGTGCTTTCTATTGATTTGACCTCTGCCCGACAAGATAATCCCCACTAAGATTAAGAATCAGCAGTTCAGGGTCTTCTCAAGGCATTAGTAAATACGCAAGAGACAATTACTCTATTTTTATCACTGATTTTATGAAATGTTACGCACCAGATGCACTGCAGAGTTTTGGGGAAATTCAATCCCTGCTAAAGGCAGCTTAACAATGACATCCAACAATTTACACAACACAAAGCTTAACCTTGTTATTTTAAAATCAAAATAAATACTTTGTACGCTAATGCTTTAGTAGTATGTGGATTCATGTTGAGTATGACCTCTCCATTGTTATTACCAAGCATCTGACCTTTTATTTTAAGCACAGGCTTTTCTCCTTGGCTACATCCCCATCCAATTCACTGTTTACCACTCTGCCTCGCCTTTTGTTCGAATATTTGTTATTCTTCACACAGACTGCATAAACATTTACTTAACCCGTTAAGTAGTGTTGAAAATGCAGGAAATTGCAGCTTTTGTGAAACCTGTTCAAGTCTTGCAAAGCTGACCCCAATACAAAACTCTGAAAATAAGATCAAGGTAAAAAATAAACATATTTCCTCCTAACAGCTTCAAGGTTCAACCCTGACCTGTGTGCAAAATGGTATTTGAAAGTAGTTGGTATTTAGTTATACCTTGAGCATCAGGTTTTCATCAGGGTTTCATCAGGTTTCCAACAGTCCGGGGAGTTAGAGCAAAGGTTAATACAAATGACTAAAAATGTTTGTCATGCTGTCATTTATAGGCCGGATACTGTCGAGATAACCCCAAAAGGCACATCATTTCAAAATGTTTTTTTCCAGGCCTTGAAATGTTTTCGAAAAACATGAAATCCTGAAAGGTTTTGAAGGAGTCATGCACAACTAAGCACTCAAAGACGAAGGAAGACGTAAAATAAATATAATGTTAACCTATAATTCATTATTATATTTGTCATATCAAACGTGAATAGATTGCACACAATTTGAGCTGGATCACTTTAGCGAGAATTGAGAAAGCACACACGAGCCACGAATGCGCCGCTTCTCACACATCAAGCAGATTTTGACATAGTAGACGTCCTGCTGGGAGCTCGGGTAGCGCTGCTCACACTCTGCAATGCATACTTGTTTATTGATCAGACTGCTGCTGTTTGCAAAACAACTAGCATTTCTCACAGGGCAAAGACCCACCTGATCACCGACTGTCACCAAACAGACATACGTTTTGCATCCAAACCAAAGCACTAAAAGCAGATTCTTTACAGCAGTCATATTTAGGTTGTTCCCTGATTGCAGCTTCTGCATCACACGGTTATGGCAGAGACAAAACTCTTCATACGTGTAAAACAACATCTTGAAATGCATATTAAAGTTATTACACAAGCTTACATGAATACATAATAATTGGTTGTGAGAATTGGCCAAAATATGAACTGTCATTTGTATTATAACCCAAACATATAATTAGACTCAGGTCTAAACCGCTCTCCAAACCCACTAGGCGTCAAACCCAGCCAGCATTATGTATTCATCTTTTACTTTCCTCTTACCTGGGACCCTCTGTCCTGACTCCTGATATGATCCACAGGATTATGTTTACTTTAACCAATGAGATAGCAGCTAAGACATCTTTGTTTAATTCATGAAGACAGTGAGATTTCGAGCATCTGGAGGTTCCTGTCTGTATATTTAGATTTTTTGTTGTTTTCTTTTAAATGTGACACTGTTCCTGAAATTATTTTTAGAGTTCTGGTTTTTGCTTCTGAGATGTTATGCATATCCGATGTGTGTGTGTGTGTGTGTGTGTGTGTGTGTGTGTGTGTGTGTGTGTGTATATTTGTGTGTGGATGTCCTATGCCAGTTTCAAACGGGGCTCCACACCTGTAATGAGACTCCGTTGGGGGCTGTAATAAAACTCTTTCCCATTACTACAGGGATGTAGATTAATAGAGCGATGCATTACTGTATGCTTGGCAGAGAGTCCCAGACTGGTGGAGCGGCAGCAGCCAGCGCTTCCCCCTGAAAGGGATTAGTTAAAAAAACACTGCAGATACTCTTTCTCTGGCTATCGCACCCAAGATGTCATTAGAACAAAATGTAATCTGTCGGTTTTAATTCCAGAGCCGTACAGTCTGACCCTTATCTGAGGCTAAGTGCTTTGGCCACCTCCGTTCTATTTAGCATAGACATTATTGTGAAAAGTCTGTCAGCTGCAGCGCTGCAAAGAAGATCAAAGAGAGGGACGTAAAACCTTCACAAATAAACAATCCTTGCTGATTATAGTAGCATGCATTGGGAGATATATAGGGATGCAGAGTAAAGGTCATGCAACGTCTTGGAGTTATTCCTCCTTGCAGGCTTAGCGCCTTTCTCCACACTCATATACACTAATGTGCACACACAAATACACACACTCTCATTTGAATTCAGGCAAGCATTGTTCTCCATATGGTACTTGGAAAAGAGTCAGGAAGGTTTCTGAACTTGTACTTATGCTTGAATTGTGCATTTGGATGTCATTGTGCTCCACTGAATACCCCCAATCTGATGATGGTACTGAATGCACTGTTTCTGTTGTTGCTCATGTTGTTGTGATTGTTTTTACTTGACATTATCATCTCCCAAATTACAGTGAATGTCACAACGCCACTGACCGCATCAAGGTGCGAGTGTGGGACGAAGACGATGACATCAAATCTCGGGTGAAGCAGCATTTCAAGCGCGAGTCAGACGACTTCTTGGGCCAGACCATCATCGAGGTCCGCACGCTCAGCGGGGAGATGGATGTTTGGTACAATCTAGGTATGTAATCTGTAATGGCATATCTCCAGGTAAAATATTTACTTTGTGTGATATTATGAGCAGTATATTGATTTTTTTAATACAGTACAACATAGATATGAAACCTGAGTCTCTGGATTAATACCACAATAAACACAAACTTGTTTTCTCTGTTGAACAAAACCTCACCACAGATGTCTAATGTTTTCTGATTGCAAGAAGCCACACAAGAGCTTTGACTGAATGAACAACCGATTTAAGGCGTTTGCCCACTGAGGACCATTTTTGAGATTAATATTTGTAGGAACTATCGATTTTGTGATGAATACTTTGACACAGAACATGCATATTATATGACAGTAGGCAGCATCGTTTACATTTTTCCCGAAAAAGGTTGTTTTGTATGAGCTTTTTCACCTCAAATATAGGAATCAACCAATCGCATTGTGTGTTGCTGGCTTAGTTGTGCCTGAGTATTAGAAAATACAGAGGTGCAATAATCTTCACCGAGACAAGTTTATTCTACTTGAAGATTCACAAAGGAAACACATACACGTTCATTCTCACCTTTCACAATGAAAGAGCTAGACACAATATTTCCAGGTGAGTAATTCATATCCTGGTGTCATCATTACATGTCACTTGTTAGACGCTTTTATCCAAAGCGACTTACATACTCAATACTGTGGGCAATCCCCACAGGAGCAATTTGGGGTGAAGTGTCTCAGGGACACAACGACATGCTGACTGCAGTGGGGTTTGAACCTGACCCCCTGATCCGAACACCAACGCACAACCCACTGCATCACAACCCACTGTGTGAAGTCCTTTAGAGCAGAAAAACCCACGATTCAAAATAGAAAGGAAATACATTCACAATTTCTCACAGCACAGGGTGATGTCAATCTTAAAAGAATTCCCACATTTGAGATTCTAGTTTACTTTATTGCCAAATTATTTTATTTAAGTTAAAAACTATTACTTGATGTATCGACCAATTGCTGTAGCCCAAGTTGACTGTTTCTAATGTTGGTCTATTGGACACATTAAAACACTTGAATACCAAAAGAAAATGTTTTTCTATGATTATGAAGCATCTCATAAGGTTTACATATCATTAGCATTATATAATATATCCATTAAAACTGTCTTTTTATTTCTCTAAACACTCCCTCCCTGCACTAAACAGAACATGAAGATACATGTAGTTTGGCTACTGATGCAGTCTTTCCTTGTTTCCTCTCATACATCACTGGCCTCTCCATGTTGCATGAGCTTGAATGGCAGCATAATGGGAGCTTCCACTTGTGTAGGAGCATTATGAAGGAGGATGATGTCTTTGTTTGCCTCTCCAGCTAAAAGGAAGCAATTTGTGGTAATTTCCGACCCCTGAACCCTCCTGCTGCTCTGTGCCTTTTTAAATGTCCACAATGAATGTTTAAACAGGCCTCTGTGTGGTGTGGGTGCTGCTCTCCTCTCTAAGCCTCTTCAGCTCCACTTCAGTCCGGGCTTTTCTGTTTACTGTGCTAGTCGCTGTCGCTTTGTCACGTTATTATTTTTTCACTTGTCTGTCTATTGACCAAATGACTGTAGGGTGAAATTTCCCCCAGTTGATCCAGTAGTGGTGAATCATATATGGGAGCACAGAGGGGGGGGGGGGGGCACTTTAACTATGGAGCAAACCCCAGCAAAAAATACGTGCTTGTACTGTATAGTATGTGTGCTGATACTAAATAAACCCCCTAAAAACCTTCAGCCCATCATAGCCAGTTATATTCCAAATGCAAGTGTACTATATGGCTGTGAGCGGGGATATGATGCCATTCATGTTTTAAAGGACATGATGTCATACCATTTATGTTCTTGTCATTTAACAATGAGTGTTTTAGATGATTAATGTGGTTTTTTTTCTATCAGTCACTCTGTTTAGCTGTGGTCAAGGACAGATTTGTATCGAGGTTGACAATAATGCTGTTGCTATTCCACTGACTGGGACCAATTATTTGCTGGAGCTTTTTCGAATTAACTGAATGGAATAAAAGTGATATCTTCTTGTTAATACGTTGTTTCCTGTTATGTGGGAACATTTAAAGGCAGAGCTATGACACACAATTTAGAAACAGAGATTTGCAGTCCACTAGTGCTACTCTGAGGCTGAATTATTTTAATATTAGATGTTTGGATTTAGGGAGGCACTTGTTGGCTAAGATGTGGCTTGTAATTGGCAGTTTCTTATCAGTTAATTTGCAGTCATGGCTAACCCTGTTTGGTTGTGTGTTACAGATAAAAGGACTGACAAGTCTGCGGTATCTGGTGCCATCAGACTCAAGATCAGCGTGGAGATGAAAGGAGAGGAGAACGTGGTTCCTCCTCACGGCCAGTACACCTGTTTACATGAGGTAACCCCTCACTATATGATTCAGCAAAAATGTACTATCTCTCATCTCCAATCATTATCTTTGGGAGCT